TGTCGCCCCCAAATACTCTACATTGCAAAACAAAAAAGGATTCTCCAGGGAACATTATTATGGGAAATAAGCTTTGAATTCAAGTTCAGAAGGATCTTAGAAGGGATGTTCATGTTATGGGGCTTCTTGCATTGGAGTGGAAAATTTAAACCTTCCTAAAATTAACTTGCTCTAGAACAAGTGACAAATAGACGTTCTGAAATCTCTTCCATGGTTTGGTAAATAATGCAGGTGTTAGAGTGTGACATATTCTTAGAGAATACATTAACAGAGGTGGGAAGTCTATCCCATATCGCTTGCCACAAGAATGACTTAATTTTTGGGTAAGTTTGTGCCTTCCATAAGACATCCCAAGGCTGTTGGAGAATGGTGATGCTAGATTGGGATAGCTCTCTATTTTGGATGATCCAATTTGTAGCCCTTTTACTATCATACTTCCCTTTCCTGGTCCAACCGGTGAAATTGAAGTCCCGTCTTTCTAATAAAGAAGTGTAGTCAATTCTGGTAAAAACATGATCACTCAGCTGAATTTTGATTTGTTCCCCTTGATCATTTTTTGAGTGAATTGGAGGAACCAGAGAAAGTTTGTGGGTGGTTCTTCTTGTTGAGAGGGCCTATGAGGAAAAGTAAGAGGTTATAGACTTGTAAATCGTGAAAGAAAAGGAGAAAGAAAGAGAAGACGATCACAAGAATTTACAAAAATAATACCCCCGGTTGCACTTATAGGAAGCTACACCTGGCCCGGGTGTACATAACAAGAGCGGGATTGTGGGTATCTTTGGCCTCTTCTCTAAGGAAGAGACCATCTATATTATTAAAACTCCAAGGCATGGAGTGGCATTATGCCATGTGTCAATTTTTTTTAAATTTTTTTTTTGTCATTTCACCACATCACTTTTAATTTTTGCCACGTCACTTTTTCAATTGTATTATTGTATTTAAATGTGCTTGATTTACGCCTTAGAATAATTGAAGTTATTGGTTTCAACTTTAAAGAAAGAGAAGGTGTTACTTGCAAACCAATAGACTAGCCATTATTAGTATTTATTTTGGTCATAATTGATAAGTTGAATAATTGTTACAATGTTTTTAAACTGCTTTGACCCTTTTAATTTGTAAATTGTAACGATATGTATTCTATGAATTTATCCCTATAAATTAACTACCCAAGGAAATGATATACTAAACGGTCTAAAACTCTTGGAGAAACATTTTACTAGGTGAGTACTTGTTTACTATACCTTACTCGGCATGCAGTGGATATATTATTTTAAATCATATTTTTACACTTTCAATAAATCACCCAAACTAATTATGGCATACACACACACACTAGGATTTGCTATATTTTAATATGAGATTTCATTGGTTGATTTGCTTTATAGTTCATTCAAAGCTCTCTAGGTTAGTGCGTGTAAAATTCTTCATTATTCACTACTCTCGATGGTTGAATATTGGTTTTGATGGTTCATTTGTGCATCCAATTTAGAAAGGGTATTATTTGTCATGTAATGATTGAATATGAAGAAGAGAAACAAACTTGGGGCATTGCCCGGTCACTAACTAGTTACCATACTAAAAACCCCGTAGAAGAAACTTACAGGAGCCCCCATGTTGGAAAGCAAGTTAAGATAAATGTTTTTCAAAGTAACTAAGCTAATACAAAGGTTACCATGAGGGCACAAGATAACCTTATAAACCTCTTTTGATCGATTAGACATATCAAAAGAGGTAAAAACACATAAACAAGTCAAAACCAACCCTAAGAATTAAAATAGACCTCAAGAAAAGAGAAACCCTAAAAATAATATTCGAACTCGAATGTTAAAGCACTGCAAGAGGAAGCTAACACAACCCCTTATAACCCCCTAACATATTATATAACCACAAGAAACACGAACATCCCAATTTAAACAACGATTATTGAATCAAACATTCGACTAAGTTCCAAAAAATATGCAAAGAAATAAATCACAACACAAACCAAAAACATGAACTAAACTCTATAAACCCGAAAAAAATACAACTACACACATTGAAGCTCAACATAAATAAGGCAAACTTCGAGTAAACACGGGTAAAATACCAAAGAAAAACCTTAACTAAATCTTTACCTTATCAATTACAATTTACAAAAAGTCTTGCATACAACCAGCTTACACTAACCTTAATGTAAGGCCTGATTCATGACAGGCTAAAGTCGTATCACCTAATCAAAAGCAATTCCTAAGTCCTCTAGCTAAAGTAGATAGGGAAGTAGGGTCGAATCCACAGGGAAACAATGTTCTTTTATTCCTAATAAATTATTATAATCTAAATTATCAAGTAACCAATTTGTATTGTGAGAATTAAACTAACAATTAAACTAAGCAAATTAAGGGAATAATCAATAATAAAAGGGTCTAGGGTATAGGTTCACCAATAAATAATACTCCAAGGTAAAAATAACAATTAATCATCAATGCATAAATTAATCAGATTATAAAGGGCTTTCGCTACGTATTATAATCACAAAATTAATCTACCGGTATTAAATCGCATCTCTCGAATCTTGACCTAACCATTTATAGATTAACATGCCTATTGAAACTAAGCCTAAACATCAATTCTCATCTCTCGAATCTCGAATCAATATTGCAAAACTCATACAATTAAACCGGGCCTAATCTAATTGCATAGTATTAAATCAATCGATAGATAGGAAATTAATCAATCATCAATAATCAACAATAATAAATTACCCCTTCGTATTATTCATGGATCCCCACAAACCCCAGAAATAATTCTACTCACTCATATTAAAATTAAACTAATCAAAGCGATTAAATAAAGCATGATTAAAAGCGATAATAATAAAACTAATAAGAAAACAATAATAACAAAAATAATCAGGAAGCAATAACAAGCTACTGTAAAAGCAATATATTAAAACTAAAGTAAAACCAAACTAATCAAAAGAACAAAACTAAACTAATCTACGTAAACTAAACTAAAAGAATGTTAACAAAAATAATAAAACTAAAAACTATCTAATCTAAAAGCTAATCTAAGATACCTCCCCTTACCTACGTAACTACTCCCCCTTTTAATAAGAAAGGAAAAAGGAGTTTTATACTAAGTCCACTTCTAAACCTATCCACACTCCTCCTAAAACAATCTCCAGTTAAATTAAAACAAACCACCGACTTTGCTTTAATCCGATCGATCGGGCCCGCTGAAATCACACCCAGCATCTGGCTGTTCTTGGTCCATTGATTTGCAATATTGGGCCATTAATTATAGGCCTTAATTCTCTCTTTTGTTCACTAATTCGTCCATTATAATAAATTTGGTCCGTCATACTTGTTTGAACTCATGCTAATAACTTGGACCTTCGTAGCCTACGCATTTAAACGAGCCCTTAATCACCGAACCAAATTTCTTCAACTCGATCTTGGGCTTTAAATATACGATCATAAAATACGTTCCGACTCCAATATCTTTATAGTGGTCTAATAAGCTCGGGAATTATCATAATTCTGCAAATTCCTACAAAATAATACCAACTCTACAAAAACACTAGAAAACGTATACTAGTAATAAAAATAGCTCCGTAGAGCTCAAATAAGCACAAATATGACAGTGGGACGGGGAATAAAAATATATATAAAATAGACTCATCAATTCACACGTGCCAATTAGAGTATAAATAGCGCTAAATCAGAGTCGCATGCAAAACATCGTCTTCTTCGAAATATTCTCTCAAATTCTCTGCAAATCTCTGCAAAACATCGATGGATTCCCTAATTCACAAATTATTACAATCTTTAAAACAAATTCAAGCTCCAATTTCAAACGATCTGCAAACTTCAGAAGAAATTGAAGTTGATTCTGCAATTGATGTTGATTTAAACAACGATTCTATGTAACAAACCCTAAATTGCAGGCAATGTGGCAATAATATTGACCTAAATTGCAAAATCGATGACAATTCAATGCATCAAAACCTCAATTCAGGTACGTAATTTTGTATATGAATTTGTAAAAATTTACCAAAAATAGGTAAAGTGGTGATTGAATGAATTACGATCAATGCAGATTCATATGAGAGTAGAGTTCATCTCGATGAAGAACAAATCTCAGCTGATGAAGTGCAAATCTCGGCGGATGAAGAGCAAATCTCAGCGGATGAAGATTCAACTTCTGAAGGTAACATTAAGCTTTTGAACAGTTGCAAAATTGTTTAAATTGAAGTGTCTGTGTAATATTGAAAAGTACAAGTAAAATTGAAATTGCATACTTGTTTAATTTATAGTGTAACTTTAAGAAATAGAAGTCTAACTTTGAGAAACATAAGTGTAACTTTAAGAAATATAAGTGTTGTTTTGTTTATGGCTTAAAAGTTATAGTTATTATTGTTAAAGTTACATAATATGGCTTAGAAGTTATATTATATAATTTAATAAAATAGTGAAGTTAGTGATAACACTGTCAAAGTTACCTGATATGGCTTAAAAGTTATTGTATTACTGAATTATAGTTACACTTTTTTCATAAAACTTAAATCTACTATACTGTTTGAATTGCAGTCATTGAAACCAATATTGATGTTGGGAGAACACTATTAGTATAGGCATCAGAACAAAAACCTTAGAATAAATGCATGAGATTTACAAAAAAACATGCATTAATTGTAGGATTTTCAGTAAGGAAACATACAGGTAGGACTAGGGATAAAACTGGAAAAGTTAATGTGGAGAAATGCTATGTTTTTTTTGCACAAGGTAAAACAAACACTGGGGAATGAAAAAAGAAAAAAAATAGAAGCAATTGTGGAGAATGCAGAAAAGAAAAGGAAAAGAAAACTAAGGCAAGTTGCTATCATAAGAACATATTATAGAGCTTGTATAAGAGTCAAGATGAATGAGGATGGATTGTTTGAAGTAGTACATCATGTTTTGGTACATAATCATGAACTCACAAGAAAACAATGGCACTATCTTCATTGATCTGAAAGAGAGATGACAGAAGAAAAGAGACAAGTAATAGAAAACTTGCAAAAGTCAGGACTTTCAGCTATGGACTCATATCGAGCTATGTGCAATGAAGCTAAAGGTGAAGAAAACTTGGGACATACAAAGAAAGACCATCTGAATTATTTGACAAGGTTGAAAATGAAAAATATTGAAGGTGGTGATGCACAAGCAGTCTTTGAATATATACCAGGAACTTGCTAATGATCCTGAATTTTTCTTTAGATTTAGATTGAATAAAGAAGGCAAGTTGAGAGCACTATTTTGGAGAGACTCGATGATGAGAGAAGATTATAGTATTTATGGAGATGTTGTAGTGTTTGACACTACATATAGGACAAATAGATACAATTTGATTTGTGCTCCTACTGTTGGAATTAATAACCATTGGAAAAATTGCATGTTTGGGTGTGCTTTTATTGGAGATGAGAAAATTGAATCATTTGTATGGTTTCTGAGACATTCAAAAAGTCAATGGGAGGGAAATGCCCAATCTCAATCTTCACAGACCAATATCAAGTAATGTGCTCTACAATACAGAAGGTAACATTTAAAGTTATACATAAAGGTGTTAAAGTTACCTTGTTTCTATTGTGTAGTTACCTTTTTTTTTCTAAAAATATATCTGATTATAATTCAGGTCTTTCCAGAGGTTAGACATAGTTTATGTATATGGCATTTGGAACAAAATGCTATTACAAGATTTGGATCAATGAAACGAGACAAGGATTTTAAGAGAACATTCTCCTACTGTTTGAAACGATGTGTAACTGAAGTTGAGTTTGAAACTGTATGGAGCTCACTGATCTAGAAGTATAATTTACAAGAAGATAGTTAGTTCCAAAGAATTTATGATCTAAGAGAAAAGTGGTGTCTAGCTCTAAGCAAAGACTTCTTCTTAGCTGGTATCCTCTCTTCCCAACGAAGTGAAAGTACCAATCATGCAATTAGGTTTAGAGAAAATATATCAACAAGCTTGACTGAATTCTATAGCATTTTCAAATCTTGTATACAACGTTGGAGAAGCACGGAAAAACATGATTAGTTCTCTTGTAGTAAATCAACTGCATCATCAACAATACCATTATCTGATCTGCTGAAACATGCATTAGAAATCTACACTTTGTCTTTATTCACATATTTTGAGGAAGAATTTTGGGTAGTCCATTGCAACTACCACAAAATTGCTTTGGCAAAATGGTAGTACCTTGTTCTATTTAATGGCAATTGAAAGTGAACCTTGGTCGCAACAAAAAGTCACTTTTGAATCTGACAACAACCAAGTTAAATGCACTTGCAAGAACTTTGAAGCTTCTGGATGGTTATGCTACCACTGCATCAGAATATTACACTTACATTGAGTGATGAGAATACCAGATCAGTATATAAAGAAGAGATGGAGAAAGTTTGTGTAACGCCCCAATAATTCTCTCTAAAAAACCTGTAAATACCTACAACAATTTGCAAGAGTACTAACGTGCTACCGCCACGTGTTCAAACGTTAAGGCTAGTTCAGAATTTAGCAGCGGAAAAACTAACTTAATTGTCAATAAGTTTCAAAACCAAAATCAAAACCAAATTTAGTCTTACAAGTTGGAACCATTAAGGCCCTTATTCAAAACCCAATAAAAGTAGTAAATAAATCAAACTAGAGTTTAATTAAATCCAAACTTATGAAATGTAATAAACTGTAGAAATATCCAACACTCCACTCAAAATCCCACCACCTTGATGCAAGTTCTGATTATGTAAAAACCTGGGATTAATCTACTCCCCAATATTACAAGTGTACAAATTGGATCATTATAGGGTCATTGAAGGGCGAAGGCCATGACCAAGAAAAAGACACACCAAAGAACGGAATCAGCAACGCTGAGTACATACAAGCTACGAAATATATCAAAGAGTCCCTAGCATGTTACTAAAAATCAATCAGCACACACAATTTAATTATTGACTCTAACACATGCCTCAACTATTAACATCACTAAGACTTCACTAATTACTAACAATAATTCATTTCATTTCATTCATTGATTGGATTAAGCAATAGACAAGGTTGTCTCCCCATGCTCCATTTCGGAACATCAATAAAAGAATAACCCCATGCCTCCTTTCAGAAACATCAATAGACATACAATGGCAGACGGGCGCGACTCCTTGGCCATAGCTAGTATGAGATCTCATCTAACTCCTTATAATTTTAAAAAGGATTTGAAAACAAGGGACTCGTATATCTGACGGCCTCTAAAAAGTACACGGCTAATACCCTGTGAACCCCAAATACTCTAGATGTGCACGAATCTAGAGTTTTATTGCTCATCCTTTTTGCACTTTACGTGATTTACCAGTTTAAACTTGGTGATGACTCAATGCAAAACAATATAACCAATCATGCATCAATCATTCAAACAATTCAAATTTCTAATTTAATTCTTGATTTATTAGTGACAAACAATATTTAGTGTTAAATCTTTTAACTACCTCGGTGTATAAACATCTTAAGTGCATAAGGCACCTCAATCCTTAACCTCGTCTTATAAGACTTTAATTCTCCCTTTACCCATTCCAATTCATAAAACATGAACGAGTAATAAGATAATTCATTCCACATATATATGTAACTTAGCCTCTTAAAATCATCACATTATTCACCAATCAAACTTACTACCATACAATTCCAACCAATCCACAAGTTTCCTAACATGATTCTAAGTCTTCCAAGTCCTTAAACATGCTTCTAGAGTCAAGGTTTTCGTATCCTTGTACGTACCTTGAGTAAACGAGTTAGTTGACCACTTTAGGAACTAAGAATCTCCTTCTACAAAGTCCTCTCCTAAACCAAACAATAATAATTCAATCAATACCCAAGCAATATAATTTACAACAATACTTACTTTAAAACTCCTTAAACCATTAAAATAATGCTTTTAAATTACTCACAATAGTCAAAGTTAATAATTTAATAGTTCAACTATATGTCTATATGTTAAAATCATGAAAATATAGCTTATAACATAAAATTCCAGCAACTTTAAAGTAAGGATTATAATATGGAAATTTAAGTTAAGAATATAAAACAACCTCATAAACAACTTTTCTTGAAATAATCATTATGTAGTAGGTTAGTATGTTAAAAACCGAAAAATCCATCATAAATCATGATTTAAAACCTTTAAAACCAAGATTAAAAAATCTGAAAATTTAATTTAATACTAGAATGTATGAATACAACAATCTAAACTTGAAATATATAATTAGAATTCAATTAGTTTCATAAAAACTCAATCAAACCTTCAAAATTCAATTAAACAACACTTTAAAGTCTTCCTATTTGCTAGAATTAAAAGCTTATATATAATTCTTAAAATTTCCTACATAAAAACATTAAAATACATACTTATTCAAAAAATTACAACAAGTTTAGAGCTTTATAAAAATCTGAAAATTTATTTTAAACATTAAACCTTCGTTAAAAATCAAAAACTGCCCTAAAATCATATTTAGAGGCTGAATTTGGCCACGAGAGGGTAGTGCTTACTACCAAAGGTAGTGAGTTTTGATTAAAATGTCGTTTACACACGAAAAACACTATTGTTTTTATAAACATTGGACGAGTTAGAATCTAAATGTGATTAAAAAAAATTAAGAACGGAGATCAAAGTTGATTACGGAAAACTGAAAATTTTCTTTTGAATTTTAACGTCATCAATTATCGTAGTAGACTTACAATATAATCATGCTTTAATTAAATAACTTTAGTAGTACGTTTAAAACCCTAAAACATGAAAACTAACCGTTTTAAGCCCTAATTTTCTTAACTAAATAAATTTGAAATTTTATTTCATAGTTTAAGCATAATAAAACTCATAAATTTAATAATCTTTAATAATTCATATACATAATCAAAACCATAATAATAACAATTAAATAACAAAAATTGATAAAAATTTAAACTTGGGTTGAATTAACAGCAGAAGAGAAAACAAGAGGGAGAAAGAGAGAGGGGCGAACTGCTGTCGAAGAGGGGGCCGCGGTGGACGCCGGAGCAGCAGTGGTGGTGTCGGTGTGGCTGGTGTCGCCGGGCAGCAAGCAGAATTTATTTATTTATTTATTTATTTTTGTCAAGTCGTGAAAACAAGGGGAAGCAAAAGGGAAGGTAGTAGCAGTAACTTACGTGAGGTTTGGAGTGTAAGGGGAAAATATTGTAGGTGGGTATTGTTTCGGGGTTTTCTGATGTCCTGCGGGAGAGTTACAATTCCGAGACTGGAACCGGGCGCCTGTACTTGCAAAACAACGGAGACTCTGGGTGGTAGGAGCTCCGCCTCCGACGGTCAAGTTAGTACATGTTTAAGGGGTAATTAATGCGGAAAAAAGGTAAAGTGTTCTTTCTAGGTGAGAGTAATTAATTGACGTCCCCCCCTTTAATGAGGATTAATGATCATATTTATATGCCTTGGGATGCGTGCCAGTCCTAGGTTTAGGTTAACCTAGGGCTGACTGGGCTTCTTCCAAGGATTGTGCCTAGGTGGCCGTTTTGCCCGGTTTGCATAGGGGAGGTCACGTGGTGTGTCACAAGTGGTCCATGGTGGACCGATCAATGCCTGACATGTGGCAGGCTCCTAATGGCCCATGTGGCGGACACATGGCAAGGCCTGATTGGTCCATTTGTCAGACGATGATTGGTTAGGGAAAAATCCCCTAATCATTTGTCCCTCACAGGTGGCAAGTGACTGTTCACATGTCACCTGTGACAAGTGTCGGCCTGTAACAGGCGACGGCCTGCTACAGGTGTCGCCCTATGACGGGCCGAGCATTTTTCCCACTTATTTTTTGACTTTGAAGGCGACTCTTCGCATTCTCTTTTGCCCTATATAAAGGGATGTTGACCAAGTCTTTTGTTCACATTTGCGAAATTTTCAAGAGAACTCTCGGACCCCTGAACTTGAGCTCTGACACTTTGCAACTTCTGACTTGCCAGGACGACTATTTTACCAGGCGCCTACTTCGATCAAGCTTTTTCATAACTTAAGTTTCAGGTAACAGTCTGTTCTTTTATTCTTTCTGCTTTTGCACTTTTTCTTTCTTTTTGAAAATGAGACCTCAAAAGCATCCGGCACGGCCTAGGTTAGCAATCAGCAGGTCACCGGGGACGGTTGAGTCTAGGACTAAGGGTGCCGACTGCCCTGCGGTACTTCAAACTTTGCGCAAGTCCCAGAATCCAACTGCCTTTGTATCTATGCAAGACAGTATGGCAAGAACTAAGAAGACCAAGAAAATAGAAAACTCTGACGGCTCCTCTTTTCGGGTTTCGATTAGTGAAACATCGGACCAGTCGCCTGATACCGCAGGGACCTAAGGCGGTCCCCTAGCCGAGAGCTCTGAGGAGGGAGTTAAGGTAGTTCCTTCTCACTTTACTGTTGACCTAGCTAGTCAGCAGACGACCCTCGAAGAGGAAGAGGGGTCGGGCCCCTCAGGAAATGGGGAGGAGTCGGACTCTTCTGATAGCGAGTCTGGCTCTAACTTGTCGAGCCGCCTGTCCATAGGCTCAGAGGAGAGGCATAATCGCTTGCATGAGGTGAGAGATTCTCATGCGGCTGAAAGGGAGATGGCTGGTCGGAACCATCCGCCCCTCATAGGGAGTTGAACACTCCTTATTACTGCTATATACCTAAGGGCTGAATCAAGGCCATGAAAGAGAGCATAGACACCTTTCTTTCGGACCACACGATGGGTCCGGATTATCAAGTTTTTGTGCCGGATGGCGAGGATACCGTCGTCTAGCCCGCAGGGTCCAGCTATGGGGACGCC